CCAGGCTCTTTGGAAATCTTCTCTGAGTTGAAGCCGTTTGCCGGTCTTTAGGGCGACTGCATAAATCTCAGATCTTTCTCAGACAAATTGCGCTTTGTGCCAGGGAACTGTGTGTCTGACCTGCCCAGCCCCAGGCTTAGCACATGCCTTTCTCCTGGTCACGCTCACCAGAGGATCCCCTTGCACTCTCTAAAGTCAGTGAATGCACCATCTCATTTGTCTGGAGCCTGGCAGGAGGGAAGTGCTCTTGGCTTATCTTGGACATGGGAGAGGCACAGAGAGAAATCAGTGGGAGAGCTGCAAACAGACCCCAGGAGTCCTGGGTGCCAGTCGCTTGCAAGACTGGGCTCTGAATGGCAGCAAGGGGGGCAGTGGGGCAGAGAGGATTATTGTCCTGGAAGTGCGGAGGTTTAGTTGCTGTGCGTTGAACCCATGGAGGTGCACAGCTGGGTTTATGTGCTGGTTCGGTTTGCATTGCATGACGCACGCTGGGGCAGGCCCAGCCTTTCTGCACCTTGCTCTGTGTTTGTTGGATTGCTTTGGTGTCGGGTTTTCAAACCTCCGCCCTGCTTCCAGGTTTCGTACCTGCCCTTTACACAAGCCTTTGAGAGAGCAAAAGCTGAGAACAAGCTGGTGCACTCCATCCTGCTGTGGGGCGCGCTGGACGACCAGTCCTGCTGAGGTGAGGAGCTGCCACCTTGGCTCTCTTTAAGGGGGGTTCGGGGGATGCTACATGAGCAGCCAAGCCCCCTGCCCTTCCCAAGTAGGAACGCCTTGTCCAGGCTTCTCCAGGCAGTCGGGATCAATGGGCAAATGAACTGCAGTTGGCTGAGGTGATGCTGTGCTGGTGAGAACAGGTTGCATTAGAGTCACTGCCCAGCCCAGAGCCCAGCAGCGCAGACACATCTCTGCAGCGGGCCCACCCCACTGCAGATTGCAGTACCCCGAGCCTCAGGAAAGGTCTGGGCCTTGCATCTTGGTGGCGGGGAGCCATCTCTGCTTTCCTCTAGGCTTACACAGCCTATCGCATTCTCCAGCCTGCTCCCACGCACTGCTCCCCAGCCACCAGATTGGACCAACGTAGCGGCTAGAGCAGTGACACCCAGAGCGCTGGCGTTCAAGACCCCCTGTTGCAGCCCTGGGGGGCAGCTGGGACAATCAGTCTGTCTGTCTCTGGCAGGTTCGGGGCGGACTCTCCGGGAGACAGTCCTGGAAAGTTCGCCCATCCTCACTTTGCTGAATGAGAGCTTTGTCAGCAGCTGGTCACTAGTGAAGGAGCTAGAGGACTTGCAGGTAAGTGGTGTCCTGTCTGACTTCTGTGCCGATACGGCTGGTAAAGGCAGTTGCTTAATACCCCTGGGACCAGGTGGTGCTGAGGATGGGGTCTCTGGGAGCCCTGGCTTTGATCCCCGCTTTCTGGGCAACCCTAGACATCTGGTCTCTGAGTGTGTCCAAGGTTCCCAGGATCTAGGTCTCCCATGTGCTTGAGATGCCCCAGAGCAGCTACACTGCCCCGCTGCCAGGTTTGGCACATGTGAGCCAGACTGAGCAGGCAGGGTGCGCTCAAACATGTGCTCCACAGCAGTGAGGACACAGTGTAGACACTCCCTGTGCCTCGGTTTCCTATTAGTAAACCAGAGGCGACGGCACTCCTGTATCCCAGCTACATTCAAGGTCGTGGTGAGGCACTCGGCCACCTGGCTCCCTTGTGCTACGTACACAGGCCAGCACTGCTCGTATGGCACTGGCTTCCCTGCCTCGTTCCTGCCTCCTCACCCCACTAACGGGAGCGCTTGCATAGAAATCCTGACGGCTGTGCACGAGGGGTGAACATAATAGACCGGAGTGGCGAATAAAATGCTGGCAGGTGGCTGGATGAGCTGGGGATGTGCTGCCTCTCTCCTCTTCTGGCTGAGGGCAGATGATGCCATTGCTGGGGCAGAAGGGAGTTGAATTTCTGTCCACTCCCTAGCAGGACAAATGTCCACCTGTGCTGCTGCCAGCGCCTGGCCTGGCTAGAGACAGCTCTTCCGGGGATGGGGTGGTCTTCTCAGCTTGCTGCTCAGCCAGAAGCCTTTCCCCGAGACACGCTGCATGCAGTCTGTGGCGTTCCCAGTCTGGCACCTTTTGGTAGAATAAAGGCAATGCACAGATGGAGGCAAACTGAGGAGGCAGCTCCAGGATCCTCCTTTGGTCAGAGATACGGTGCCCGCAAAACCCCCCCAGAAAGGGAGCTTCACCTGGCGTGTTTCTCTGCCTGCTCCCCCCAGTGCTGTGAGCTAGGAAGTGTCAGCTTAATCCGGAGTGCCCCAGCTTGGCAGATCTTTGCTGGATCATAAATGTTGATTGTTTCCTAGCCCTGGCCATTGATCCAGACATCAGTCAGTCATAGAGATTTAATTCCCTTGAGAAAGCGTACTGGATACATCTGCCATCGGACCTTTGCCGGCGTCCACGTGACTGCAGGGGGGTGCCGTGGCAATGAGCGTCGCGGTGCCCTGATTGAGAGAGCCAGTAGGCCGGCACTGCATGCAGAACAGGTCCAGCTTTTCAGTCCTGCTCCCTCCCGTGTTTTCACGTATATGTTGCATTTGCTCCCCCTTTCTCTCTTTTGCTGTCTTCAGCACATAATGAATGCCCTTCTGGGGTCCTTTTTTACAGACCAAGAGAGAGAATGAATTCTACAGGAAGCTAGCGGAGCTGCACCTAGAGAAATACAACTTCCCTGTGGAGATGATGATCTGCCTTCCCAATGGAACAGTGGTACGTCGGCCACCCTTTGTCCTGGGTCTCTGGCTTTCCCATCCATGACCCACTTCCTTCTCATTCAGTCTTTCATCTCTCAGCAGATCCCGCGGAGTCTTGGGTGCCTGGATAGCACCTGGCATTGCAGAGTTTTTCTTGCTTTAAAATCTATATAATCAGACTTAGTGGGATAAATAGCAGGAGTTTGGAGTGGAATAAGCCTCTGCTGACATGAGCCATTAGAGTGCGTATAGTTACACGAGGAGAGATGTGGCAGTGACTTGCATTAAATGCTGAGCCCTTACAAAGCCCTCATTGTTTTCCAAGAACCTGAGTGAAGGTTGAAGATGAACGTTTGCCAAGGTGCAGTTTCAGCTGTCTGCAAAGCCCCCAGCTCTGCTCTTGGCAATACCAAACAAATAAATATGATTCCACTTTATAGATGAGGACCCTGGAGCGTAGATCTGTTCTTGCTGTCAAAATCAGAATCTGGATGTGCGAGTCCCTGCTCACCCCTCCCTCTCCAACTCTCTGTGTCAGGGTTTGAAACTATCTGTCATGCCCTGGCTGAGTGCCCGCTGATGGGTATTCCTCAGGCTGTGCTAAATCACGCTGTGATCTTTAGTTCCCTGTGCTGGGCAGTTTCGAGGCTGGCCCTCTGGGTGTGCTTTCAGTGTGCTTGTCTCTCCAGCCGCCCCTTCTCAGAGATGGGATGCGGATAACCTGGAGAGGGTCCAGAGAAGGGCCACTCGTATGGTTAAGGGCTTGCAGGCCAAGCCTGATGAGGAGAGACTAGAGAAACTGGACCTTTTCAGCCTCCGCAAGAGAAGGTTGAGAGGCGACCTTGTGGCTGCCTATAAGTTCATCACGGGGGCACAGAAGGGAATTGGTGAGTATTTATTCACCAAGGCGCCCCCGGGGGTTACAAGAAATAATGGCCACAAGCTAGCAGAGAGCAGATTTAGACTGGACATTAGGAAGAACTTCTTCACAGTTCGAGTGGCCAAGGCCTGGAACGGGCTCCCAAGGGAGGTGGTGCTCTCCCCTACCCTGGGGG